CAGAGAATAGACTGCAACTGCTAGAGTTTCTCTTTTGTGCCAGCAAGAATAATGAAAATCTTATGGACCTCAAACCCTAGCTATGTATATATATAAACCCAAACGGACCCGATCCGGTCTGGTTCAATATTTAATTAATCCAATTAATTAAACCTGGTCCGTGAATTAATTAATCCAATTAATTAATTCGGGAATATAAATAACAAATTCAATTAATTAATTTATCCAACGATTGTTAAATTAACCAATTGGCAATTTGCAATTTTCCAATTCTCTTTTGTGTGCGACCCATTAGGTTCCCGACCACGATGCCTAACGTCGTGAAATATTATTTTGATCTAATCAAAATTGATAAATTAATACACCCTTTTAATTTATCGTCAATTCACACTCGCCGTCCCTGATTGACATCTAGCAATGTGTCAGGGCAATACATGTGACGAGAAATGTCACGTAGTATGACAAAGTCAAATTCGTTCGTTTACCGTGTAACTATTATCCCTCCGTCAATACGATCCGATCAATTACGAGATATGGAATTGTGTCAATCTCGATCGTTGATCATATCTTTCACTCCACTATAAAGTCAATATAAATCGAAAACTCCTTTTCGACTTATGAGTACACCTTGGCCAAGGATTTCATCATCGACTTAATTGAATGAAACGCAGATCATAATCTCCTACTATCTAAGAGTGACAAATCCTTTATTGATTAATCACAACCTTCATACGATTCTTGACGTACCCGAACGATGTCGTATTAGCGGCCCCTTTCAGAGCAACATCCAACACCGCCAAAGTATGACTGTCCTCATATAAGGTACCATGACGACCTCAAGTCAAAGGACCAATTCCACTACCGAACGTTAGAGATTAGCCACTGACACTTGGATAGTTATCCATGTGGAATCTCTTAGCGGGTCTCCAATGTTTTGTTCTTTAACAAAATATTCACGTGTTCATTTAAGTGTCACCACACTTTAACTCGTGAGATCAGCTACTTACTTCACAAGTAAGAAATGCCACACGTGATGGTCTAACTGTATTAACGATATCCGTATCTCGTTATTACTTACGACCATGGTTTATTCAAGATCCAATTATATGTAATTTGTATCTCACAATCACAACTCCTTGTGATTAACAGATTACCTAAAAATTGGATCTTCGGATTCTATTATTTAATATTATTTATCACAAAATTAATTTAAATAAGTAATAGATCTCGCCAAAATCAAATGCATTAAATATATTAAAAGCGTTTACAACCTAAATCGATTGGATCTAGGGCATAACACTTACAGAAGCAACTACAGAGACTACTATAATGGAGCAAACCAAGCCTGAAATTTCATTGCACGCGCTAATTGGGTGGACAGTTTCCAAAACTCTGAGAGTCACAGCAAAGATTGGACCTCATGAGTTTAGTGTACTTATTGACAGGGGATCAACCCATAATTTTATCAGTGAAAAAGTGGCCAGCTTGCTTCGGTTACCTGTTATTCCAACTAGAGCTTTCACCGTACGAGTTGCTAATGGAAGCCAACTTCAATGTGAAGGACGGTTCGAACACGTCTATATTCTCCTGCAGGGTATCTGTTTTTCACTCACTTTCTATTTCTTACCATTAACTGGATTAGATTTGGCGTTGGGAGTACAATGGTTGGAATTGCTTGGCTTTGTTATATGCAATTGGAAGGAGATGACAGTGGACTTTGAATGGGAGAATCAAGCCTGTAGGTTACAACGGACGAACACCCCAACAATTCAAGCAGCATCACTCAGAGTCGTTTCCATAGAGATGCGACAAGGAAGCACTGCATTTGCGATGTGTTTGCAGACAATGGAATGGATGATTAGCTAGATTGTCCAACCAGATTTACAGAATATAATAGATGAATCAACTACCCCCAACCAGAGAAGTGGATCATCATAGACCACTGAAAGGAGCACAACCTGTTAATGTGAGGCCATATAGCAAGTCTATTTTTGGGCACGAAGAGTTGGAGTACTTGGGCCATAACGTCACTTCACAAGGAGTTCGGGTGGACCAAAATAAAATAAAGGCAATGATGGATAGGCCTTGACCTACTAATATATCTGACTTACATGGTTTTTTGGGGCTCACTGGTTACTACAGGAAGTTTGTTTGTAACTAAGGGGTGATGGCTCGACCACTAACTAATCTGCTAAAAAAGGGTCAGTTTGGTTGGAGTGAGGAAGTAGAGGTTGAATTCCATTCTCTCAAACAGGCCATGACAACAACACCTACACTTGCCATGCCGAACTTTAAAGGGCCATTTACCATTGAAACTGATGCCTCAGGTAGTGGGATTGGTGCTGTCCTATCACAACAGGGAAAGCCAATTGCTTTTATGAGTAGAGCTCTGGGAGTATCCAAACTATCCTGGTCCATTTATGCTAAGGAGATGCTAGCCATTATAGAAGCAATACGAACGTGGAGGCCATATTTGCCTGGAGGGAAATTTTTCATTTAAACGGATTAGCGAAGCCTTAAATATTTGTTAGAACAGTGGATAGTTCTCCAGAATAGCAAATGTTACGGAAGCTCTCTCAAAAGATCTTCAAACGGTGGTTTTCCAGGCTCAGTCCAACGTACCTTTCTTTACTAACAACCAATCCAATCGGCTCCAAACCACAATCAATTGATTCACCTTGGTTGCTATTCAATCTTACCCACGTAGGACAAGAAATGATGATGATTTATTGCCACAAAGGCTAAGAGAAGACACCACAAAGGTATAATATGAAAGAACCACTAATTGCACACGTTATACCAGCGTTCTGGACACCTTTTTTCTCACACAAAGGGGGGCAGCCGGGATTCCCTTGTTTTCTCTCAAAATCACACAATCATCATATCAAAGTGGTTAGGGTTATAGCCAAATATATACTATAGGGTTAGGCTCTAAGTTGGACCATTAAAAGGGTAAACGGGCCAAGATTCAAGCCATCCATAAGGAATACAATTGGGCCGAGTGTAGCTCATGGACTTGGTTGTTGGACTTATTTCATTCATTGGCCTATACCTATGAAATAATATTAACCCACGTTAACATCATGGCCCGTGATTTATTGGGTATAAAAAACGCAACAGCAAAAGTGGGTGGCAAAATTATTGGGCTATGATTATGAAATTTTATACCACCCCGGCAAGGAAAATTCGGCAGCAGATACGCTTTCACGGGTGGTAGATAGTCCTATTCTACATGCCTTATCCATACCGCAAGTTCGGATATGGGATAAAATTAAAACTATATCAGGTGACCATCCGTATATGCAACGGGTTTGCCAGCTAGCAAAGTCCAACCCAGGTGCTCCTTATATATGGCGTGATGGACTAGTATTTTATAAAAATCGAGTTGTAGTGCCTCCAAATTCATTTGTGGTGTCAAAGCTGATGCAAGAGTTTCATGATTCACAAATTGGTGGCCATTTAGGAGTTCTAAAGACTTACAAACGCATTGTACAACAGTTCTACTGGCCATCACTGTACAAAACCGTAAAGGAGTATGTGGCGGCTTGTGACATCTATCAAAAGTCCACGGCTGAAACGCTCTCTCCTGCAGGTCTTCTCCAACCACTACCCATTCCATGTCAAGTGTGGGAGAATATCACTTTGGATTTTATTGAAGGATTGCCTATATCACATGGTAAAGATATCATTCTGGGAGTAGTGGACAGACTAAGTAAGTATGCTCACTTCCTTACTTTAGCTCACCCATTTACTGCCAAAACAGTAGCTGAAAGATTTGTTGACGGGGTAGTGAAACTTCACGGTATGCCAAGGTCTACTGTTAGTGATCGTGATCCGATTTTTCTCAGTAAATTTTGGCAAGAATTTTTTAAGCTTTCAGGAACCCATTGAAAATGAGTGCAGCATACCATCCCCAAACAGATGGCCAATCGGAAGTGACCAATAGGTGTGTGGAACAATATTTACGCTGCTTTGTATACCAGCAAACTCGTAAATGGAGTGATCTCATCCCATGGGCTGAATTTTGGTACAACACCGCCTACCACGCATCTGCAGGGATGACTCCTTTTCAAGCCCTCTATGGTCGGCTGTCTCCTGCAATCCCATATTATCAGAAGGGAACAACGCTCGTCAATGAGGTCGATCAAAGTCTTTCCTCGCGGGATGCCTTACTCAATCAATTGAAAAACAATTTGCTTGTCGGTAGTAATCGTATGAGGCAGGCAGCGGATAAGAAATGACGTGATATCGAGTTTCAAGTTGGCGACCTTGTCTATCTTAAGTTACATCGTTATCGCTAGCACTTAGTTTTCAAAAGAGCTTATCACAAACTTGCTAGCCGATTTTATGGGCCTATAAAGTGGAGCAACGTGTGGGAAAGGTGGCATACGAGCTGCAGTTGCCGGAAGGAGCTCGTATTCACCCTATATTTCATGTCTCCTTACTTAAAAAAGAAGCTGGGTACTCCTTGTGCTGTCAACAACAAACTACCACCCATTTCTGAGGATGGCATTGTTGAGCTAAAACCCGAGTCAATCTTGGAGACGCGCCAGGTTGAAAAAGGGAAGAAGTTTGTTGAAGAAAGCCTAGTTAAGTGGCTTCGTCTTCCAGCAGAGGAAGCTACCTGGGAAGATACTCAGGAGCTGATTAACCAGTTCAAGGATGTGGACCTCGAGGACAAGAGTCCACTTCGACGGGGAGGTAATGATAAGCCATGGCAATCTAGGCAATCTCAACGCATGCGCAAGAAGACCCGCAGGTACGTGGAACCTTTTAAAGTGCATTTTCTAATCTACCTCATCCATTTTAATTTAACATTCAATTAGTTCGATCTAAAATCAAGTTCTAAAGACATTTATTCTCCTGTATGAAATTTATTCGAACTATACTTTATGAAATTTTCATGAATCTTTATTGGCATTAAACTACTGCCCCGTTGTTTTCTTCTTTGAGGATAAGCTGTAAGATCCCTCTTAGGACTGAAACCTCCAGACTCCAGAGAGAGTGGGTGTGATCATACTCCTCTAAATGTCTACATCTCCCAGCTGTTCTCTTTCCTGGGCATTTTCATGTCGATGGTGCGTCCAAAAGGTACAAGACAAAAATTCCCTACAATTACATTGTAGTACTAGAGCAATTAAAGAGATGTGGCACAGCTTGGTAGTGCGTTTGAAATATAAGAGTTTAAGTACACCTTGAAAAGGGCAAAAAAATGGTTACCTGGAAAGTTTCGTGGCATCACACACAAACAAAGACAAAAAGGAAAGGAAAGGAAAGGAAAATAAAATCAACTTGTTATTGCTTTTGTTTGGTTCCAAGCAATCATCATTGAAAATGGTTCATTAATGTAGGGCTTGTTTCACTAAAGATCACAGTTTATCCATTTTTTTTGTTTTTATAGTGGACGCCGTCTAGTTGATAAATAGCTTTAATTTAATCAGCAATTGCAAATTAGAGTTGTCTCCTTGCCTTATTGAAAATTAATCAATGGACTGTTCACACAACCTAACATTTTCTTAAGAGGAAATTACTGTGACACTCCTAAATTGTTTGATTATCACAGTGACATCTTAAACCACTGATATAGTAAAAAACAAATATGCAGTCCTTTAGCAAACCTTTTTGATAGTTTTATAATACTTTCTTGATAGAAATGACTTATGATGACTACACCAGCTTGTATGATGAAAATGAGTAAAATATTTAGGATTTTTCCATTTGTACGTTCTTGGATTACATTATTGTTGACATTCCCTTTGTCTTTAAAAAAATGTATAGGAGGGAAAACACACACACACACACATGATAGTTTGTCATGTCGCAAACTATCAAACTTGATGTACACCAACAAGATTAAAGTATTTATCACAATGTCAATGATATACTTAGAACCCACGGATTTCGCCCAATTCTAAAACTATGTAAACCGTTTCCTATAAAATTTTATGCTACCTAGGCCACACAATACTTTAGCCCGTGTTTTTCTACCAATATTTAAATATATTTTTTCTCAAATTCATTTTTAACCATACATTCTTACAATAAAATATTTTGCACGTAAATCCAAATTTTTTCCCTACTTTTAACCATGCATTCGTCAAAAATTCATTATTCCAAAATCCATTTTCCTACTTTAATGGTAGACAAATGGGTGTTTAATTTGATCTTCAATTTAGATTAATGTCTATCTTTTCAGTCAATTACATTATAGGTGGTGTCACAACGAGGCCTTTTCTTGAGAAATTCTTCCCTTCAATACTAAAGAATGCAGCTGGGGCTGAAACAAATGTGTACTGTGCGTATGACAGCCAGATTCTTACGTCCTTCACATCTTCACTCTGTATAGCCGGACTAGCTGCCTCCCTTGTCGCCAGTCGCTTCACGGCAGCTTTAGGCCATAGAAACATCATGGTATTAGGTGGTCGTAATTTCTTTGCAGGTGTAGCTATCAATGGCGCTGCTGAGAATATTACTATTCTCATTTTGGGCTGCATTTTGCTAGGATTTGGGGTTTGTTTTTTACCAACCAGGTACCACTTATGATTTGAATTTTTACTGGTATTATTGATGGGCCAAGTGTTGGCTTTTAATTTGTTCGTTTTGGAATCCTTGCTTGTTTATGAAATGAACCTCCTTATATTGGCAAACCAATGGTCATTACCAACCAGAAATATTTTTTTTAGTGGCCGTATCCTGAACCAACTAGTCTAAAAATTTAAAAGGTCTTGAACTTACCAATCCTGCATGCTGCCACTTCTGCATGTTACAATACTATATTGAACCACCAAACTTTAAAGCTCCAAGTCTTTAGACACATGCTACATTACTTTGTTTATTTAAATCATGTCTTCGATCTAAGACTTCTATTTCTGAAAACAAGTATCAAATTATATGTTAGAAATAATTTGCTGAGACAATTCCTACGCCTTCCAAAGAGTTTTGGATTGCTATCTTGATTGATTATATGCTGAGAGAATTCCTGATGAGGACATCTATTATTATTTATTTCTAGTTGGTCTTTATTTTGTTTTAGATTCTTATTTATGTAATTGGGTTTGTATTGGCCCAAACTCGTTCTAGTTAGGGGTTTTTTTATTATTTATTTATTTATATAAATCTAATTTTCCATATAATTTTGACAGTTGATGATTGAATAAAACTATTTTGGTGGCTTGTGAAAATTTTCTCCATTTTCTCCATCTTTCTTCTATTGATTCTTCTTCTACCCCCGTCCTTCCCTAATTGATTCCCTCCTCTATAGATTTGTTCTCATTTTCAATTAATTGTTCCAATTGGTGTTGTATAAATTCCTATGACCTCCCATTTTATCAGTAGTAATTTCTCACATTAATAATCTTAATAAAATTGACAATTATTCGAAATTGTCCCATGAAGGGTACTCCTGTTTACCTCTCGAAAATGGCTCCACCGAAATGGCAGGGTGCATTCAATACCGGCTTCCAATTCTTTATAGGCATTAGTGTAGTGGCAGCAAATTGCATAAACTACGACACCGCCAGCTTGCATTTGGGGTGGCGCATCTACTTTGGCCTTGCCATGATACTGGCTGCTGTCATGATATTGGGCGCTTCCCTAATCTCAGACACACCTAGTAGCCTTGTGGAGCGGAGCAAAATTGAACAAGCCTGAAAATCTCTAGTGAAATTCCATGGATTTGAACCCAAATCCGATCCCAACATTGAAAATGAACTAGTTGAACTAATCAAGTGCAGTGAAATTGCAAAAGCCATAAATCAAGAACCATTTGTTACTATATTGGAGAGACAATATAGACCTCATCTAGTGATGGCGATTGTCATAACATTTTTCCAGCAAGTAACTGGAATCAATAACATTGCATTCTACACCCTGGTGTTATTTCAATCAGTTGATTTTGGAAGTGATTCAGCTTTGATTGACGCCATAATTCTAAGGTTAGTTAACCTCGAATCAATTCTTGTCACTACAACAAAATTTACTTTTTAAGGCGTACATGCACATGCTGCATAATTCTATGTCATATATGCTCGCATCCTTTTACGGCATGCAATGCTCGCCATAAATAAAGGAAAGCATGTCGTTAATGCATTTTTCAAAGCATGCAAATACTCAGTTCTTTTACGGTGTGCACTTACACGCCATAAATACACTTCTTTCATGATGTGCACTTGCACGCCGTAAATGTGAATTTCATTTTTTTAAAATATTTATTTATTTACTTACAAACAAGCTTATAATAATTAATAATTAAAAGAACTACATATACCAACACATATAATATAATCATGTTTTCCATAATTTCAATAAATAATAGTATTAAGTGCAATCAAATACAATATACCAAAAATGTAGGGTTAATCTAAATGATTACTAAGAACATCATTAGCCTATTCAAAAAGTTGATGTCAATATACCAAAAGTATCGATTACCACTCCAAAAATAATTTATTAAAATAGTACAAAATATCGACCCATATTGAAGACATCCCACAATCATGGTGATCTCTTGTTGGCAAGTAAGCATTGGACCAGTTTTGCAGCTTGTGACAGGGTCAGTGGATACCAGATCGCGGATGCCATAGCTTTATTTTAGTTTGTGAGGCTGAGGAGTCCTGAAATAAAAAATAAAGAGAAAAAGTAACTGATCATGGTGTACCTTTTTAAAATAAATACCAAGTGACAAACATCAAGTCCAGTTCCTAACAAAGCAAAGAAATAAAGCTATCAACATCAAATTCATATTCTCGGAGTGTCATCATGAAAAGTTTTAACATGAATAATCAATTTTAATAAGCAAGCTTTTGCAATGCCATGAGATTTATTTGCTTGCGAACCAATCTATTTTGAAAACACAGCAGCATATTGCCCTTAAAGAGGAAGATAGGCCAAGTTAGGAAGTTCATATTTAAACAGGAAGTTTAACTTTTGAAACTTCAAAAAATTAAGCAGCAAATATTCCAATTAAGTTTTTGACTTATCACTGCCCAAGGATCACTCGACTAAATAAAGAATAATGCATACACAATGATTTGCAAAATGTACATAAATTCAGTTGGCTTGGCAGTGCTAATTATTGAAATTTTCAAATCATCCATAGTGATCAGAGCTACAACTTTTAACCGAACACAAACAAGCAAACAATTTTCATTTATATTCGTGGCTCATTTGGTAGATCAAAAAAAAAAAAAAAAAAAAAAAAGGCAAAGAAAAAAAAAAAAAAAAAAAAAAAAAAAAAAAAATAAATTCTCCCTTTTTTTTTTTTTTTCGGGCTCACGAAAATATTGAATTACAACATTTAGTCGTTAAGAAATTCAATATTAAATAAATTTTATACATTTATAACAAATTATAAATCAAATCGATATTTTCTTTTACGTTAATGAAGGAATATAATTAAAAGAATATGTCTAACTTCAAGATAATGCAAAAATAAAAAAAGCATACTCTTAAAAAAAAATCACAGCAATACAGATGAATGAACAAACATAATAAACATTATACAAAGAAAAAAAAAAGCTATGAAAAACAAAAGAAGCCTTTGAAAAAAAAAAAAAAAAAAAGAGGCTACCAGGAATATTAAGTGAAACATGAACGGAACAGGCAAAAATAACGTACCAGAAGTAAATCCATATGTAGCCAACAAAGCTTTATTTACAATAATAAGTCCAACAGAAGTAACGATATTGAACATCGAAGCATCAACATCAAGAGCCGGTTTTTGGTCATCCTTGCCTGTCAGAGGCATATTCTTCCACTGCTTTAAAAGAGACTAGATTGCTAATGATCTTCAGCTTCAGGAAACGACAAATATCAGATCAATTTAGAGCTGGAACAAGATCATTAGGTCCTAAATCTATTTCTCTATTGACTAACAAAGTGAATTCCCAGACAATTTTTCAGTGTCAATATTATACTGACCAAGATATATAATACCACATAAGCATAGTTTCGCCAAAATTGAACGACAAGTCCACAGTTATCGAAGGTCTATCACATCTCACAAAAAGTTATCCCCTCTATGTATTGACCATATGACAAAAGGAAAAACTAAATTTCCCAGTTAGTGGAGTTGATTGAAATCCTTTAAATGTTTGATACACTAATTACATATTCACCCATCACATATTTAATCTTGCATATAAGAAATGATCGAAATAAAACGTCAATTATTCAGGTTAAGTATAAATATAACAATAAAACAGCTAGTACTGTCGTCCAAGAAGTTATAATTCAATCTATCCATATAAAATCCCCTATTTCCATCACAGATCCCCTAAAAACACACTTCAATGATCATGATAATGCTCAAAATCCAAAAACCCAAAAATTAAATCAACCAAAACAAGCAAAAAGATTTCCAATAGTTACATGTCTAACAAAATTCTATCAAATTCGCTGCACCCAGAAGGAAAAGATAAAAATTAACACATGTAACTATATAGAGCCCAATCTTAAACTCAATCTTCCAAATATCATACACAATCATAGACTTGCATCACTCGATTTCAGACAACAATTCACGCAAATGGGTTTTCTTAATGTCCTCAACATGTGCGTGAAAATGCACAAGTACACCACATAAATAGACACAGCTAAATCAAATCGAAAAATGCCAAGAGTTGAAATTTTGAATTTACCGTCAAATCCTTCCACGGTTCGGTTTCAAAGATTAGAGAAGATGAAGCCATCTACCAGGATTTCAACGCCATTTCACAGATGAAACTATAAATTAAAAGGCTAATACAGGTTTGTACAGGGGCGGAACTGCAAGGCCTGGCCTGCAACAGATCTCGCGATCGAGAAGATTGAATGGCAGAGATTGAGAAGACTGGCCGTGTAGTGTCGTCGTCTAATCGTGAATCGTCCCAGAGCTGAGACGCCTGGCAAAGTCGTGGAAAGGCGGAGTTGACGTAGCGGTGGTGGATGAAATGCCACGTTTTAGGGCATTGTAAACTTTCAAATTTTTTACAGTGAACACTAAAAGCATGCCGTAAATGCTCGTTCAATACGGCGTGCAGAGGATGTACATCGTAAATATTTTAACTAATTAATCTTTTACGGCATACATATAGCGGATGCCATAAATAGTCTCTTTTTACGACTTGCCATAAGTGAATGCCGGAAAAATTTGCTTTTGTTGTTGTGTGTGTTCACTTGCCTTGTTGATCGGTATGGTCGAAGATTTCTATTCATTGAGGGCGGGACTCAAATGTTCATTTGTCGAGGACATTTTTCATATCTATCGTACTATCTACTCATATAGAGTGTTTAGTATTACGTATCAAACATGTTTGCAGTATCTATACGTTTATTGATATTATTATACAAAAATTGACAATTAAATTCTTGTCGTTTTGGAAAGGTCTCGACTGCTTGTGTACTAGCTGATGTAACGGGTGTGTCAGCAACAAGACATACATCGAAGGAATACGTAGCATTGATACTTGCTTTGATGTGCCTTTACGTGTTTGGATTTGGTTGGTCATGGGGGCCTTTAAGTTGGCTAATTCTAAGTGAAATATTCCCAGTGAAAATCAAAACGACGGGGCAAAGTATAAGTGTAGCGGTAAATTTGGATGTTGCATTCGTGCTTTCGTATACATTCTTGACCATGCTATGCCACTTCAAGTATGGAGAATTCTTGTTTAACGTGGGCTGGCTTGCTACAATGACCATTTTTGTCGGGATTTTTGTGCCAGAGACAAAAGGGGTTTTGTTGAACTCAATGCATCAAGTGTGGGAACAACACTGGTTTTGGAGCAAGTTTGTCTAAAGACTTTGCCCTAAGGTTTCCTTTTAACGAGGAAAGTCTAAGCATGTTATATAATACAAGGTTTCTCCTTATTTTGTATGAACATTAATTCACATTCATAGGGTCTGCATGCTAATCACTAATTTTGAATGAATAAGATTTTAACTTTTTTTTTTATCGGAAACCTGAAGGAAAATTGTTCTCATGGTCCTCAACCTTCAAAGTCGTTAGTACTTGACTTCTCTTTTATGTTTACAAAAAATAACCAATAATCCCATAATAAAAAGTTTATGAAGAAGGTATAAGACCAATATATATATATTAGAAAGGAAAAACCACACTAAAAAAGAGCAATACTATTTATTTCCAGCCGGATCAACCACATATCATGTGGTTTTAACTGATAAGACCAACTAAGTGAGTCTCGTATCTACACATTTAATTGTTCTTATCATTTCACCTCACATCACTGCCAATTCATATGGGATGTGTTAGGACCGCATTTTATTTGAAGTAAATAAGAAAATAAAGAAATATTTTAGGTGCGTCCGACAAACCTACACCTCTCAAAGAGGTCTACATTTTCAAATACTGAATAACCAACATTCATTTTATTAATAACATTGGGTTTATATAGAGAATTACATGATAATTTTCTAAAACATAGGGAACATTTTCTACTTAAATTTAAATAATAGATAAAAAAAAAAACCTATTTTTGAATTATTCAAAATAACATAAATAGAAGAATCAAAACAAAATACTAACTAAAATAGAAAAAGGATTTCGTAATGGGATGATTCTAGCTGGGGACAAATAAAGATAAGTGGAAACAATAAAAATAGGGAGCCGCTATTTCCACCACAATTTTTACAAATCTATCCCACTCTAAGCTCATCCTACCAAAATTTAAATTTTATGAAATGTAGTATATTCATCCACGTTTATTCCAACTTTAACCTTGTTTTAAATCCATTCATTTAAACACTATATATCCACATTAATTACTTTTATATATCCATCCCATCTATCCCTATTATAATTTTAAAATTTAACAATGACTACATTTATCCCGAATACTTCAACCTTGTTTTAATCACTTTAATATCCGCATTAAAATGTATTCTATTCATTTCTTTGTTCCTTCCCCACTTTTTTTTGCAATAAAAAAAATCCAAATTGAAAATTCAGAATCCATAATTAAGTAAGTCCCAATCAGATTTTAGCATAAGTTGTAAAATATATAACATGTGCCATTTTTTACTGTCCTAGGGTCAACACTTGGCGAGCATTTGAAGAAAAAATTTGACGATTACTGTTACGTGTTTGCACACTTGGGCAACCCACCGGGGCCCACAGCCAATTCATGCCGAAACATGTGGCACTCAAGCCGAGGTGATTTGCATAGCCAAGACCCATAAGTCGAGCTCCACAAAAGCCCCGACCCATATATACTGGGGCCCATCTATCATTGCTTCTTGAGGAGCTTCCAAAGCCCATATGTCGAGGCCCTTTGAAGGTGGACGAGGCCCTATTGGCCAAAGCTTTGTAGTCGAAACACAAAGCAACATCTTCCTTAGACACTTCTCCCAAGAGATCCTCTGCACAAAGATCTTACTAGAATGATTGATAGAACATTTGTCATGAGTGTAAATGTTAAGTCTTATCATTAGTAGAGGCGGCTCTGCCAATCACTAAATGTATAGCAGGCTAGGTACGGCTGATGCCTACAATTTAACATGTAAATTAACCGGATGAGGCCACGTGTACCCCGAACCAAAGGTCACGATCTAACTTGTGACACTATAAATATTCCCTCATGTACCCCATACAAAAGCCAATGCAAAAATCAATACAAGAAACCATACTTTACTCAACTCTCTCTTTCTTATTACCTTGCAACACAATACGAATCTACTCATATTTACATACACATTTCCAAACATCGATTGGTAATTATTGTACAATCGGTTAACGAACATCCCGTCGAATTCCAAACGTTCTCGTCCCGCACCGTTGAGCTATTCACATGCCCTTGATCTGTCCGTTTTAGACTGTCCACGTGTCCTTAGCGTGTTAGACTTTCGCTCACGTGTGTGCGGGTAGGTCCGGCATCTGTTGGCAACATTTTCTGGGGTGAACAGATTGGCGCCTTCTGTGGGAAGTTATACCATAACCACAAGCAACCTTGGGTGAAAGCTTATTAAAGAGGAACATTTGGGCGTCCCTCTTAAAAAAGGATTTGTTCTTGAAAAAGAACAAGAGGAAGCCCCACGACTTAGCAAAAATCTGAAGGGTAAGATGCAAAGAAAATGAGTTCAAACGAAGATACACCCCCCAGGAGGGTAAGAGAAAATGCTAATGTGCCCCCTCAAGCAGCTGCCTCGGCATAGACTCCACCACAACCATAGAAGAGGTGGAATGCGTGCGACGGCTCGGCTGTCAAGAGAAATGACCGCCATGGCAGCTAATATGAGGGACATTGCTAGCCAACACATGGCTATGAGGGAACTTATGGCCCAAATGCTGGGCCAGAGAGGCATCCCTATTCCTCCATACGCCCCTCAAGGGCACTACCAGCAAGAAGATGAAGTTCAAAGCTGTAGGGCTACCTCGTCGGACTATAGCCGAGGTAGAAGCCCATTTGAAAGGGAAGTGGAAGTTGATGTTTCCTCCAACTACGCCTCTGGCCGACCCACTGAGGTCCCTTTGAACCATGATAACTTCCCACCTTCGTATGAGCAAGAGCAAAAATATAGGAGGTCAGGCAGTGTATTTGACAGAATTAGCCCCGTTGAACCGAGGCTCAGACAACAACATCACGAGCCTTGGACAAGGCCACCGCCTCCACCTCCAATGCCTCAACAACCGGAAGGAAGGCCTAAAAATGTCCCCCATGCTACTCCGCCTAGAAATAAGTGCCAAAGGAGGGAGGAAGAGTTAGGAACAGTCCCGAAACATCTCACCAACAACCAAGGTATGAGGCTGAAGAAAACGATTCTAATGAGCAGCAGAGGTCCTGTGACTTGGACGATGACGATGAAAACCTGCCATTCTCAAGGGAACTAAGGAGCGCCCAGGCCTTGAACCACTATGTTATGCCAAAGTATGATGGAAGAGGTGACCTAGAGAAGCACCTGAATGCTTACAAAACTCACATGAGCCTAAGGGGCGCCACCCCAGCTGTGAAATGCAGAGCTTTCCACTTAACACTTAGCGGTGCAGCTGAAATTTGGTATAGTAGGTTACCACCTGGGAGCATAAAAAGTTGGCCCGAATTCAAGACGACCTTCTTGAAGAGGTTCGTTGTGAGCAAAGAGGGAGAGGCCCCCATCCAACGTGTCCAAGACATGAGGCAGACACATGGAGAGTCCCTAAAAAGCATCCTATCACGTTTTACCAATGAGATGACATATTGTGTGCAAGTCACCAACCGTGAGGCGTTATCTACATTGAGAGAAGGTCTGAACATGAACACCATGTTCTGGAAGGACATGCAAAATCAAGATCCCGCCACCTATGATGCCCTACTCGAGATGATGAGACGGGAGATCATCAATAAAGAATTGATTGAGCATAGGAACAGGGCAAATAGAGGCCTTCCACCTCCTCAAAGGTAGCGTGCTAGAGGGTCGACCTCCACTTGATGGACTACCAAATGAACCAAGCTGGAAATGAGAGTTCTAGGCAAGCACTTGCCACGGCCACTCTTAGCGTCGTTCCTACATTAGCATATGAGGATATCAACCCAGTCACTAACACCCAGCAGATGGGAACTCCGCAAGGACCCCGTAGGGGTAGAGGCTGAGGCCGGGGTTCGGGACCTAAAAATAGGTCAAATCAGAACCCACCTGGATACTGTGCATACCACCGGTCCTATGGACACAACATAGCAGATTGCCAAGACTATGCTCACCGCTCCCGGTAGGAACCCCCTAGGGACAGAAATGAATCACCCCAGGCAAACAGGCCCCCGCCTAGGTACGATAACGACATGGGCGTGAAGAGGCTGCTCCTCGTCAAAGGGATGTTTCTCCGCGATGAAGGGAGCGTGATGCAGAGAGGCCCAGGGAAGGGCGCAAACACTGAAGAAATCAACAAGCTCAGGATGAGACCCCTATCCACGAGGTGGATACCATTTTTGGAGGCCCATATGTAGGTGGTGAAAAGCGGAACGCTAAAAGGAATTATGCCCGTGAGGCCAAGCGCCTCCCGCTTACCAGCTATATTGTGGGCCACAGCTCTCGGAAGGATTGAGTTCCACCTATTGTCTTCACCCAAGAGGATACTGAAGGAGTTCACTACCCCCACTACGATGCACTTGTGGTAAGAGCAGTCATAGCTTGGAATGGGCTCAAACGAAAGTTAGTTGACAATGGTAGCTCCATCAACATTCTATTCGGATCCACCTTGGACAAGATGATACTGGACCATGAGTTAACATCCACCACCACTCCTTTGTACGGATTTACCAGAGATAGCATTACTCCGAGAGGAAAAATCACACTCGTGGTAGAGATGGGGGAGTCTCTCCAAACCACAATGAACTTCATGGAATTCCTCGTTGTCGACAATCGATCGGCCTACCACAGAGTATTGGGTAGGCCAACCCTAAAGAAATTGGGAGCCGTCACCTCCATCACCACCTATACATGAAATTCCCAACGAAAAATAGGGTGAAAACGGTGAGAGGTGATCAAAGAGGCTCGAGAGAGTGTTATCTAAGCTCCATCAGAAAGGTAGAGCCCCAGGACGTCCATGTGATTATCGCCGACATAGTCATGGTTGATGTCCCAGGTGATGCTCCTGCCGAACCGAAAGATGTCAGAATGATTGACGCACCACCCAATCCGGAAGTATTGGTCATCGATGAGATTGATCCCCACATAATTGAACAAGAACCTCAAGCATCGCCAATTGAGAAACTTGAGAGCTTCTCGGTAGACCCCTGAAACCCATCCAAATTGTTGAAGGTGGGCAAGGGCTTGTCCAGCAATTTGAAAGAAAAGCTTAAGGATTTC